TGATTAATAATTGTTGTTGTACTCGTAGATGTTTTTAGGCAGCGGCCTTGAGCAACCTTTCAATTTAAAAAAATTTACATTGAAACACACCGAATTAACCGTTCGTGTTCTTCTAGTATCCTACTGGTTTCTGTGTATTATCATAAACACAATCGCCAAAACAAAATTGTTAGCTTACATGGTTTCAACACCCACACACCACATCACCATTTCAGAGCTCTTGGACGATCAATACGAACAAGTCATAGATCTGTCTAGAGGTAGCTTCAAATTCTTTGATGACTACGAGGAAGCACTCCTGTCCAAGTTTTCAACAACATATCAAAACAATGTTTGTGACTTTATTGACTACACAGCTTCTCACAAATCTCTGATCTATGGCGAACTGCCTCGGATTTCGCTCCACTCCAAGGTACTATGTTCAAACAGCAGCAAAATCGGTGAAAAACTAGGAAAATTGACAACCCAGACTGTGGGCATTAATGCCCATGCATGGCCTTTCAACAAAGATATTCCTTTTGTGGATCAATTTAACGTCCACATTGGACACATACTAAATGGTGAAGTCCCCTGTACGTGGATTTATTTTTTCTGATTTGTCGTTACAGGTGGACTTTTAAGTGCGTGGGAGCGAAAAGCGCTATGGACGGAAAATTTTCATGTGTATCCCAGAGGGATAACCTCCACCGGAAATGGAAATTTCATTGGTTTTGAGGCATTCATTTTGCACCTTGGGGTCTATTTAATTTGCCTCAGTGTTTGTATTTTGTGTTTTGTAGCTGAGATTTTGTACAACAATTGGAAAAAGAAGCCTAAGCTGTTTTAAAAAAATATCAATATATTTTATACATTTTTTTATAATAATTAATGAAACGGTGAAAATGTCATGGAATTTTTTCACCTATTAGTGATTAACAGATGTTTAATCACTTAAGTAACTTAGTTTACCGACAAAACAGCCAACAATGTTCCAACAAACTATTATTTTAGTGTTATTAGTGAATGTTATATTTGCTGCTAATTCAATTATTAGAGAAAGAATTTTGCCAGTGTATACATTTTCTCCAAATAATTTACTTATTAATCATCTACAATTTCGTCTAGTTTTGCATTTTGACAACACGACTAAAGATGGCGCAAGTTTGTTTTTGACAAGACTATCGACTTCACTAAAAATAATTAACCACGACGTAGCTACCAATCAGCTCGCTTTATTAGAAAAACGACATAGTGTCAAATATTTAAATCTGGTCTTCTTATCCAACCCCTTGACACCTTCTAACCTGTATAGAAGTATTCAAACTACCGATTTTGTTGTGTTTTTCACAAACCCAACCACTTTTCTACTGATATGTGAAAATTTTTCCAGCTTGTTGGATTTGAAAAGATCAGGAGGCGTTGCCGTAGTCAATTATGCCGAAACTGTAGAATTATACCAAATCTGCTACTATTGTGGTGATTTAAAAGGCCAAATAACCCTTTTGCAGAAGTCATCGTACCATCAACCCCTGGACATAGAATTTCTATTTTCGAACAACTTCAAAAATTTCGGTGGTCACCTATTCAAAGTGGGTTATATCCAATACCTCCCCTACATGTTCTGTACCGAAAAAACTGTACTCCACAACATCACGTTGTGTCAAAAACCAACTGGTTCAGAATTCCTCTTGCTACACACTCTAAGTCGACACTTAAATTTCACCTATCAATTGATAGAAACCCAAAATGACCATTACGACGTTCTCGTAGACCAAGTAGCCCAAAAACACGCAGATTTTGCCATCAGCGGCCTTTCCATAACAACCAAACGCATGAAAATCTTGAAATTTTCCGACGTTCTTCGATTCGAACCCTTCGTCTTGCTTTACATTTCCCAAAAATCGTTTCTGTCTAAGTTGGTCGATTACGAACTCAAGAATCTAATTCTAGAATTGTTTTTGTTGGTGGTGATGTTTTTCCTATCTTTGTTGGTGTTCTTTCTTGGCAAAAAGTGTACTAAGTTGAAATTATCACTAGTGGATATATTTATGATATTTTTGAAAAGTAAGTACGAACAAGGTGCGAATGTCAAAACTGGTGATTCCAATTCGACTGTCGTGATTTTTGCATCTTGGTGGATTTTTGCTTTGATTGTGAATGTTATCTATCGATCTATGTTGGTTTCGCTGATGGTGCAAAAGCCACTGGAACATGAATCGTTGCAAGATTTGGTTGATCATGGGTATGAGATCGTTTTGAAGGAGAATACTACTTATATTGAGTTGTTTTTAAAAACTGAGGAAAAATTAATCAACAGGTTAGGTTTTATTTTTTGCTGAATGTGTCACTAAGATTGTTTCAGATCAACCACGCTAGTGTTGGATAAGTGTGAAATTTTCTCTTATATTCAGAACAAGAAAGCCCTCGTTCCTGCCGAAATTGGTAGGAATCTCTATAACAACGTGAAGTATTGTTCTAGCGTACGTCATGTGTTTATTGATGTTGAAAAGTTTACAATGAAACCGCTTTCGGTGACCCCGCACGCTTGGGGGTTTGGACCTGAAGCTCCATTTGTCGATGAATTTAACCGATATATTAATAAACTTCGAAATGGTAATCACTATTTACAAACAATTGATAACAAAAAACCTGTTTTGATTTTTTAGGAGCAGTATTAAAAATGTGGAAAAATATGGTGTTACTACAAAATAATGTTTACATTTTTAGAGAACAAAGTCGTCCGAAACAGGATAAAAATGTCATTGATTTTGAATCTTTTATTTTCCATTTTCTGGTTTACTTGGCGCTAATAATGGTCTCTATTGTTTGCTTCTTATTTGAACTTTTGTATTCGTGGTACAGAAGAACATCCCGAATTCCGAAAAAATTTGTTTGCTCATCCCCTCCAAGAATCTGCTGACGTGTTGTTAAAAATTTTTTACTTGAAACTTGATCGTTAACAAAACGATAAAAATGTAATGAAATTGCTTTCTATTAATTCATTAAATGCCTCTTTAATCACTTAGTGAATTACCAAGTTTATATTCAACGACCCACTCTCAAAACAACAATGTTCCAGGTAGTTGCTATTGTAGCGTTTTTAATTGTCATACAACAACACTTTGCTATCAATTTAATTAGAGAAAATATTGCGCCACTTGATCAATTTTCCCCAAATTATTTGCATAATGACCCACAAACTCGTCTAGTTTTGCATTTTGACAACACGCTAAAGATGCCGCAAATTTCTTCTTAACAAAAATATCGACTTCACTGAAAATAATTAACCACGACACTGCCACAATACAACCCAGTTTAAAAAAGCGTGGTGTCAGATACTTAAATCTGGTCTTCTTATCCAACCCTTTGAGATTCTGTGCACTATGTAGGAACATTCAAACAACCGACCTTATTGTATTTTTTACAAACCCGACTAATTTTCTCTCGGTGTCTGAAAATGTTTCCAAATTATCAAATCTAAGAGGATCTAGAGGAGTTGCTGTGGTGAATTACGCCGAAGATGTAGAACTATATAACATCTGTTTCTATTGTGGTGATATCAAAGTTAAAATGACGCTGGTCCAGAAGTCGTCGTACGACCAACCAGTAGACATAGAATTTCTCTTTTCGAACAACTTCAAAAATTTCGGTGGTTACCTATTTAAAGTAGCTTACAAGGATTATCTTCCCTACATGTCCTGTACTCGAAAAATTGTAGTAAATAATATCACGTTGTGCGAAAAGGCACTTGGTTCAGAATTTCTCTTGCTCCACACCCTAAGTCAACATTTGAATTTCACTTATCAATTGATAGAGGCACTAAGTGATCACTACGACATTCTTGTAGATCACGTGATTCTAAAACACGCGGATTTTGCCATTGGTGGTGTCTCCGTAACAAACAGACGCCTGAAAATCTTAAAATTTACCGATGTTCTTAGATTTGAACCTTTTGGCTTGTTGTACCTTTCTCAAAAATCGTTCTTCTCGAAGTCGTTCGACTACGAATTGAAAAATTTAATTTTGGAGATGTTTTTTTTGGTGGTGATGTTTCTGTTATCTTTGTTGGTAACTCTTATCAACAAGTGGTGTGCTGGTTGTAAATTGTCGGTCGAAGACATATTCTTGGTGGGTGAATTCCAACGTGAAACCAGTACTGATAGATTTGTTTCAGATATTTGTGAAAAGTAAGTACGAACAAGGTGCGAACGTGAAAACAACTGGTTCCAACTCGACTCTTGTAATTTTTGTGTCTTGGTGGATCTTCGCTTTGATTGTGAACGTCACCTACAGGTCAATGCTTGTTTCGATGATGGTTCAAAAACCCATGAAACATGATACGTTGCAAGATTTGGTTGATCAGGGATATGATATCGTTTTAAGGAAGAATACTACGTATATGCAGATGTTTTTGGAAGCTGAGGAACGACTAATTAACAGGTTAAATATAAATGTTATAAATTTGCGTCTAGGATTGTTTTTCAGGTCGACTACTTTACTGTTGGATAAGTGTGAAATTCTTCCGTATATCCAGACCAAGAAAGCCCTCGTTCCTATTGAATTTACTATCAATCTCATTCACAATCGACAATCTTGCTCGACAACCATAGATGTTAAAAAATTTACAAAAAAAGCTGTTTCGGTGACCCCTCACGCTTGGCCTTTTAGACCTGAGACTCCATTTGTGGACGATTTTAACGTCTATTTTAAGAAACATCTAAACAGTAATCGATCACTCAGCTTGACCAGAAAACATTGTTTAATTTTTAGGAGCGTTGTTAAAAATGTGGGAAAATAACGTTCTACTGAAAAAAAATATCTTCACTTTTCCAGAGAGGACCCTTGTGAACCAAGAGAAAAATGTCATCGATTTTGAAGCTTTCGTTTTGCATTTTCTTGTTTACTTGGTGTTAATCGTGGTGTCTATTTGTTGTTTTTTGTTTGAAGTTTTGTACTGGTGGTGGTTGGGAAGGAATACGAAGGGTTCAAATTATATGCTTTAATTAACGTATAAAGCCCCATTAATAATCAGCCATTATGTTTAACAGTTTTGAGTAAACCAACTCCCTAATCCTGTTCCCTATCAACCAATCCGGGTGTTTGATAGTACCATTGACTAAATTGCTGCTAGCACAAGCACCACCTAGTTCCTTGCATACTCTAGCAGCATCCACTTCAGACACTAATAAATCATTCCGACTATAAAATAAGTGACATTTTGTGCTAACCAGCGACAAATTGTACGAAGGAGGAGTCGAAGACCCATACACTTCCTCATTCTTCCTTCTTCCAAAGTCGTACCTCCGAAAGTACCCCGACTTAATAATTTGCATATAATGATGGCCTTGCTTTCTGGAGACTGGTACTACAAAGTGTGTCAAAAAATAAGTCAGCCTGTTTGAATCCTCTTGATTTGTTTTATAGCCAAAAATATCCATAGAAATTAAATTACACAACCTGAAACTAAAAGAGCATACTCTTCTTAACACAAAAAACAGATTATTTGGAGGAACTTCATTAATTTTGAAAACTTTGAACCACAGGTTTAAAATACTGTTCCAGTTGGTACCAACTGGAACGCTTTTCATGTGACCCAACTAAGCAACAGGTGCCATGGCCATATGTACTTTGATTTTAGCGTTATAGGTGGGGTGGGTTGCCATCATGACGAAAAAGATGGTGGTACCTTGGGAGTACCCCACATAATGGAGGCTAGCTTGATGGGTGACGTTCAAAACGTAATCGACCATTGCTGGAAGATCGATCGTGCCCATTTCGTGCCAGCTGAAGTCCCAGAATTTGGGGTCTCGGTTTGGGTGGAGTGTGGTGTGGTTGCGCGAGGACGGGGTTCCTCGGACGTTGCCAAGCCAGACGTCGTAACCTTCATCAGCTAGTAGAAAACCTGAGGGAGAATGTAGTTTGTTTTGGAAGAATAGGGTGGTTTACCTAGACCATTTTTCACCCCAGTGGAAACGAAGCTACTTGATTTAACAAACAGTCCATGGAGTACCAGGACAGGTTTACGGATCGTGTTTTTAGCAGGCAGGATGCGGTGAAGGGTTAGAATGTAACCATCAGAGGTGGTCACGTGGTGTATTTCATTCGGGTATCCATATTTGTTCAAAATTTGGGGCTACAAAAAGGCGTTATGGTCAGAAAAACGTGTCACAACTTACTGTTGTCAAATGGGCATTTTCTTTGTCCGCAAAGACTCTGAAGAGATGAATGAAAAAGCAAACGTTTAAAACCTTTTGGTATACCATTTTTACTTGGTATTTTATTTAAAACGCTAAGAAACGGTTGATAATAGGAAGTACTTTGTACTTTACGATCAGTTTAACGACTTCGTGCTGGGTTTAGTCATGACGCTGATATCAATAACTACTTAATTAATAATGGATGGTTTTAAAACAGAAAGATAAAAATTAGGACGTAATCGTAAGTTGGTAAATTCGCACCTTTACAAGGAAAATTTTCGACTACCCTGACTCCCGTAACAATCCTTAATAGTACCTTCTGTGATTAAATGTGTCTCGACACAAGCACCAAGTTCCCCACTTAACCAACTAAGGTCAAAGTCCATCACTATCAAGATCATCGATACAAAACAAGTGTGTCATTACCGTACAGAGAAGAAATAAAAAAAGCGGCATCGATAAACCGTACACATTAATATTAAAAATACCAAAAACCCTCAAGATTCTTGGAGATTCCATCAAAAACAGCGTCCTTCAAGATTATTTCAAATATTTGCAAGAAGAGAACACCAGGGTCAGGTCAAGTCAGGTCAGGTCAGATCAGGTCCCAATTCGTTCAAATTTTTCCAAAAAACAAAACACCAAGGGCCTTCAACATTCTTCCAAATTCTTCCAAAAATAAAGCAACAGGGATTCCAAGAATCTTTGAAATTCTTTCAAAAATAGAACACCACGGGATATTGACAACTGACATAATTTTGCTTCTAATTACAATGTGGATGTTTGCCGTTTTGATGTTATGTCCCTCTAAATTTGAAAAAAGGCTGTTGTAACTCAAAGAAGAGACCTTCCCACATTTTCGTCACTGCAGAACAAAGAGCTCCAGTCTCCGACCTAAAAACTACTACCTGGTACTAAGAACCTTCAGGGAATCGAATGCTCCAATCCGCAAATTAAATACTTCTGGCGTTTTGGAGTTATATCACGTTGAATTGGAAAAAATGTCATTTTCTAGCTCACAAAATGGCACCTTTCTACATATTCGTCACTCTAGGTTGAACAAATAAAGTATTCGGTCTAAAAATTCGCCCACAAAAATAGAGAACTCCAGAAAATCGAATGCTTCAAACCGGAATAGCGATTCTTGTGTCATTTTGGAGTTATGACTCTTCAAATTTGAAAAAAAGATTGTTGTTTAACTCAAAAATGACCCTTTCCACATTTTGGTCACTCTAGACCAAATAGTTACAGTATCCGGTCTAAAAGTTTGATCGTCGTACCAGAAATCTTCAAGAAATCGAATGCTTCAAACCAGAATGCCATTTTTTGCCGTTTTAGAGTTATGTCTCTTTAAATCTGAAACAAGGTTATTTTTTAACTTTAAAATGTGTCTTCCCACATTTTAGTTACTCTAGGCCAAACGGTTCCAGTATCCGTACTAAAAATTTGGTCGTGGTACTAGAAATCTTCAAGGAATCGAATGATTTAAAGCACGAATGAAATCCTTGTGCTGTTTTAGAGTTATATCACGTTGAATTGGAAAAAAAGCTATTTTTTTATTCAAAAATGACACTTTTCTACATAATCGTCACTCCACATTACACCGATAGAGTATTCGGTCTAAAAATTCGCCCACAAGAAGTAAGATGTTCCAGAAAATTGAATGCTTCATTTTGGAGTAATGACTCTTTAAATTTGAAAAAAAAAAGTTCTTTATCTCAAAAATGACCCTTTCCACATTTTGGTCACTCTAGACCAAACGCTTCCGGTATCAGGTCTAAAAATTTGATGGTCGTACTAGAAATCTTTAAGGAATAGAATGCTTCAAACCGCAAACGAGATATTTGTGTTAAATGTTGTTAAAAATGTTTTGATTGAAGCTTGATCGTTAATGGAACGATGAAAATGTAATGAAATTGTTTTTCCTTAATTGAGTAAATACCTGTTTAATCACTTAATAACTTTTTATTACTTATAAAGCAGCCATTGTCAAAACGACAATGTTCCGACAAGCTGCTATTTTAATGTTATTAGTTAATAATATATTTGCTGCTAATTTGATTAGAGAGAGAATTCCGCTAGTGAATATATTTTTTCCAAATTATTTACACAATCATCTACAATTTCGTCTAGTTTTGCACTTTGACAATACGACCAAAGCTGCCGCAAATGTATTTTTAACGAAAATATCGACTCCACTAAAAATAATTAACCATGACATTGATACTATTGAACCTGCTTTGAAAAAACAGCGTGGTGTCACATATTTAAATCTGGTCGTCTTATCCAACCCCTTGACATTTGCTAAACTGTATAGGGATATTCAAACTACCGATTTTGTTGTATTTTTCACAAACCCAACTACTTTTCTCCCGATGTCTACAATTTTTTTTAACTTATCAAATCTAAGAGGATCTAGAGGAATTGCTGTGGTTAATTATGCCGAAAATGTAGAACTATATAACATCTGCTTCTATTGTGGTGATACCAAAGGCAAAATAACACTGTTGCAGAAATCATCGTACCATCAACCACTGGACTTAGAATTTTTATTTTCGAACAACTTCAAAAATTTCGGTGGTCATCTATTTAAAGTGGTTTACAAAGATTATCTTCCGTTTATGTACTGCAGTGAAAAAACTAAAATAAACAATATCACCTTGTGCAACAAAGCAGTTGGTTCCGAATTCCTCTTACTTCAAACTCTTAGTCAACATTTGAACTTCACGTATCAACTGATAGAAGCACCAACTGATGTTTATGATAATCTCGTACACCAAGTGATTCTAAAACATGCAGATTTTGTCATTGGCGGCATTTCCGTAACAGACAAACGCACGAAAATCTTGAAATTTACAGACATTCTTAGATTTGAACCTTTCGGCTTAATTTACGTTCCACAAAAATCATTCCTGTCGAACTTGTACCAATACGAACTAAAGAACTTAATTTTGGAGATGTTTTTGTTAGTCGTGTTGTTTTTGTTATCTCTAGAGAGCGGATTTTATGAAATTTGCATATCCGTTGTTTTTTGCATATAAGTCTTGATATTTAATATGTGAACGAATCATGCTAATTAAAAATGAATACAGCTATAAAAAAATTGCATATTTGCATATATTTGCCTTCTGCTGCATATTTCACGGAACGGGTGCATATTTTGCATTTTTATCAATTTTTGTGCTAATTTGAAAAAAAAAATTATTGTCATCCTATCGGCATTTATCTAGAAAGACGAAATTTTATTAATCATATTGCAAATATTGTCCTGAACTTCAAATAACTAGAAAAGGTTTGGGTTTTATGGTAGTTTGGAGATACCACTGGGTGTTAAGCCATCCTTCCAGGTAAATTCGCGCCCTAATTACTTTTGGAAATACTCTTCATTCCCAATATTTTTGTTCGTTAGTTAAGTGTATTAATGGTACGTTTATTAGTGGTGATCGAAGGGACGTTATACTGTTATTATTTTTAATCGTGAGTTTATATTGAAAGCATTTAAAGGGATACAAGTGTATCAATATGTCGAAGATAACTCAAATTAATTTATGGATTAAACGTTTTCTTGAACTTATTCTTCAAGAACGAACTGTACTTTGTCGCGCCTGCCCTAAACCGTTAAGTATTTTTACATCTGTGGACGTAGTACGCAGTTTTTCTATTTACAAATACATTTACTTTAGAATCACCGGAAAAACTTTTTGTTAGAATATTTCGAAAAATATCTAAAAATAAATTGTTACCAAAATAGTAATTAAATAGTGAATTACTACTATTTTTTAATTTGATCTGTTTATATTTATTTTTTAGTATAAGAATATTATCTTTAAAAACGTGATTTATATGTTAGTGAGATGTAATTAAACACTTTGCAATGTGATTTATGTATTTTTTGTAATAAAATGTAAGCTCGAGAAACCTATTTTTGAATTTTATAAATAAATTTAGTTCGCTTATTCAGCTTTTTTTTTAATTTTTGGAGCATATGCAACTGCATATCTCTGCATATATTAAGAAAGTTACTGCATATTTGCATAAATTTGGTGCATATCATATGATCATATTTCTCAAAATTTTGCTGCATATTTTCCGCTCTCTAGTTATCTCTGTTCGTAAATTTTCTTAACAGATGGTGCGCTAGTTCGAAATTGTCGGTCGAAGACGTATTCATGGTGCGTGTTTTCCAATGTAAAACTATTACTGATAGCTTTGTTTCAGATATTTGTGAAAAGTAAGTACGAACAAAGTGTGAACGTGAACACTACTACTTCCAACTCGATTCTTGTAATTTTTGTGTCCTGGTGGATATTTGCTTTGATTGTGAACGTCATCTACAGATCGATGTTGGTTTCGTTGATGATTCAAAAACCAGTCCAAGACGATACGTTGCAAGATTTAGTTGATGAGGGATATCAGATAGTTTTAAGGAAGGATTCTGGCTACACGCAGCTGTTTTTGGAAGCTGAGGCACGATTAATTAACAGGTTAAACATGAAAGGGGTGGCACAAATTTGCGTATAGCGTTATTTTCAGGTCGAAAACTCTAGTGTTGAATAAGTGTGAAATTCTCCCATACGTGCAAAGCAACAAAGCCCTTGTGGGTATCGAATTTACCTTAAATCTCATCCACAATCTAAAATATTGTTCGGAAGTACACCATACGATTGTGGACGTCAGAAAGTTTGCAAAAAAGACTGTTTCGGTGACCCCACACGCTTGGCTTTCAGACCTGAAGCTCCATTCATCGATGAATTTAACAAATATATTAAAAAAATTCTAAATGGTAAGGAGCTTCATTCAGCTTGACAAGACATCATTGCTTGTTTATTTTTTTAGGTGCATTGTTAAAAATGTGGGAAAATGACGTAAATCTCGCCATCATTCTTTTCTCTTTTATATTCTCTCTCTGTGTGTACTTTCGTACTTCTTCCTTTACTACTCTCATTTTCTCCCTCTCCCTTTTTGTTTCTTCTCTCACTGTATACCCAATGTCCATTTTAAGTATTTTTCTTGTACTCTCTCTATTTCTTCATATTCCGTCCATCCCCCAATATCAGCTCCATACA